AGAGTGTGTTAAGGCTTATAGTTGAAATTAGAACTGGACTGCAATTTGGGAGGTCGAGCTTTGATGCTCTGTAGGTCTACTCTGTAGACCTCCTGTGTGATCTTTTTACAAAGACAAGAATACTGAGATTGAGTGACTTATGCTTTTTCAGAAAGTATTAACCAGACTCTGAAAATCACATTCCCATAAAATGTCAGATTAGCGCTGCAGAATATTTTTTGAGCGTTAATCATGGTCGTACTCCTTGTTGCAGTTCCTCAGTGGGAAAATGAGGATAATGCTTTTCCTAAACATTTGTCTAGAGCTCGGGAAGCTCGCTCTTTCTATATTCATTGTCCAACATCGTGCCTTCAGTTTGGGTCTGTGTCCACCTGTAATACAGGTAATGACAAATGATGTTGCCTCTCCCAATGGTAACTGAGACCTGCCAGAAAGAACAAGACACTTATTTTCAAGTCTGAGGTGAGAAAGGGATAAGGACTAAAAACTGCCCCATTTTTATAACTTCCAGTTGCTGAAGCTGGATTTTGTTGGGTTTAGTTTGAAATAGCTCTGCTGCTGGTCTAGTTTGTATAATGTATATGCACAAAATTACTAAGTATTCGGATACCTTAGGCGTTATTCCCTGTCTCTACAAATCTTGCCCTAAGATTTGCTTGCTTTAATTTGTGTCTGTGTCACGTTTGCCTTTCCTCTGTTTAATTAATTTGCTTGCTTCTGACTGTGAAGTCTGCAGTAATATGTGGATCTTCACAATTAATTTAATCTGTTTTTTAAGACATTTAATGGGATTTTTGTGCTTTGAGTGAGACATTGAATACACCTTCTCTGTTATCCTGTGATTAGAGTAGGATTCGGGAGTGCAAATCAGAATTAGATAATTTTAGTGTTGGATATTGCGCAGGCATGCTATATGTTAGACTTGGTCTCTGAAAGTGTGTTAATAAAATGTATTTAAAAGAATACAAGGAGCACCATAGCTGTATTCTAATGGATTATATACTCCAGAGAATATCATAAACCACCAATTCATGATCTAACTTTTCCTGTTTTAAGATTAGTTTTCTGTCAGTGCTGTGAATTCTGTAAGCTGTGAACATCAAGTTCTGTCTCTGACACTTTCTAGAAATAAAGATTCCGCAATTAGGACTTTGCTGACAATTTAGTTGATAAGTGAGGCAGATAAACCTATCCCTCTTCTAAAGCTGTTTTCTCTGCAATGCTAATATTAGGAAGAAAATAGGTATGAAATGGTGCTAGGAGCTATTTTATGATACCTTTTCTGTTGACAACACTGTAGTTTTCAGAATTAGCCGAAGCTCTCTGTGGAGGCTGTCGCATTCCTCCCCTGCGGTGATCTAGTGTCTTCTGTCTGTGGGGCTCAGCATTATGCGTAACATGTAAGCTGTTTTCATTTTGCTTATAGTTTCACCTCTATCCTAAAACAGTGCACGGTTCAAGTAAAATTGGAGCTGGGGCACCGAGCCCAACTGCGGAAAAAGCCCACCACCGAAGGGTTTACTCATGACTGGATGGTGTTTGTCCGTGGCCCGGAGCAGTGTGACATCCAGCATTTTGTGGAAAGGGTGGTCTTTCGGCTACACGAGAGCTTCCCAAAACCCAAGCGAGGTGAGTGTATTTTTGAAGATGTGTTATTAGGCCTTCTCTGTATGAAAGAGCATTGTGCAAGTCAAGGTTGTCTTGGACTGTCACTTTTCTGTAAAATATCTCCTTAAAGAGGAGCAAAATGTACATTGCGTGCACTTCAGCTTTAACCTTTACCGTCTTTGTTTGAGGAAGGTCAGGGAGAATGGGACCTTTCTTCTGATGAAAGGGCTGGAGATGAGATGCTTTCTCCTCTTATTTAAGCATTAGTACATCAGGTTCTCAAGACACTTAGGGACAGCAGAAGATAATTCATGTTACAAAATGGGAAAGATGGGTTTGATTTGTTAATATTCGCCAACACAAGCTGGAAGCATGTGATTGATGAGAGATGCTCAAATACTGGGCTTGTACTGGAGTATGTAGACTTTTGCATTGGTCATTAAGTAGCCATCAGGATTCTTGCAGTTTCTAGTCTCACGTGCCAATTCAGGTAGTACTCAAGCCAGCAGAAATCAGTGGTGCCAAAGGGGTGGTGATCTTTTTGCCGCTGGCTGTATGTTCCAGCTGCACGTATGTGTGCAAGCACTGTGAAGTCACCAAGGTTGGGGAGAGTGTACAGATTGTGGTGTTATTTTCTGCTGGATCTGTTCATCGCTCTTTCTGAGTGTGCAGCAACATGAACCTTATTCTTGGCACGGGGCAGCAGGAACGCATGGTTGAGGTGGAAGAGCAGGAATTGCCCTTTTCGGCAGCAGCGCAGGGTTAGTTCTGCTTAAGATTGTGTAACTGCATCTGTAGTGTTATTGTTATGTAGTGTTACAAGGAATGCTGGCTGCCTGAGAGTATTGCTGTAAATTACTTCATAATGTGCATTCTTTGAAATATTTCTTTGGAAGACTGCTGGTCCTGCAGGATGTCTTAGGACTACCTACTACATCGGTTATTTGTGAGAGTCCACAGTGGAAAGTAACTCAAAGGTGTTCAGCTCATAAGGATGTGAATCTAGTCTGTATGTTAATAATATCTCCTTCAAATTGATGTAGTAAAACTGATGTATGATAAGCAAGAGCGATACTGAGCTGAAAGCTAATTTATAGAATAAAAGTTACAATCTGCTGTGCTACAATTCTTGTCATCTGGTGTAATTACTTCATTACAAACACCTGTGCTGGGATAGTATATGGTCTTTGCTCAGTCGGTTGCCATATCATCTACCTTTAAAGAGGCAGTTTTTTCTGCTCTCTAGGTCTTGCATGCTTTCTTCAGCTTGCTCATAATGCCAGCTTGCTTTTGACCAAAGTGTGTCTGGGTTGTATATAAATGGTATGGCAGATGCATACTATTTCTAGATTTGTTTGAAGGGTTTCTTCAGATGGTTCGGTCTTACTTGGAGCAAAATCTACTGGTGAAGGCAGGCTTGTGCTGCTAGCAGATTGCTTGTGTAGTAATTTTGTTAGAATAGAGCAGCAAAGGAACAAAGGCTGCTTGGCAGA